ACAATCAAGGGCAATTTAAAGTGCTTTATGATGGATTCTCCATGGATACCTAATATAATTTCCTTTCATTATGATACTAGAGTAGGTTTTCACAAAACTGTTTTTACAAAAAAACAGATGGCTTGGGCAAACTAGGGCACAAGTAAAAGGATGTCTCATAAAAGCTACCCAAGAGAGGACAGTTTGATCTAATCTCACCACATTCATGTTACACAGGAAAACTTTGCAAGTTTGAAATTTTGAAAGTTGCTCCTGTAAATTTTCCTCACTCCCAGCAGTCACATGCAAAATCCTATGATCCATCCACACTTTCACTTTGATCTTGAAAAATGAAAAACAAAATAAAGAAAAAAATTAGTGCATCACTTTGTATGTAGGAAATCTAACTAACCACTGTGTGCAGATGGGCATATGAGCCCTAATATGTCAAGTCATTTAAGGAACTATCTATGAAAACGGCTCTGATGGCCCCATCAGAATAATTTGCAGCCTTAAGGTTATGCAGGTGCTTGTTTGCATTTTGGCACTTAGCACTGAAGAATTTTACAGATAAAACTGAGGCCCAGACATTCCTATGGAGCTGCACAAAAGCAACAGATTTTTTCTTGAAAATGAAATTTTTGGCAAAAGCAGTATTTTGACAATGTGGAAAAAGATAAAGGAAGACCCAACTGGTTTCATCTCTCCCCATTATTTTCAGTCTTTTAAATCTCAGGTTGGAATTTCCAATATGATTCAGAAGGAACTCTTTGTTCAGATCACTATCCTTCTAACAAGATGGTTTGAATCCCACTTTCTGACAGAGTGTGCAAATGGGCCAATCCCTTTTTCCCTCTTCACAAGCTTGATTGTTTCATTCTCTTCTTAAATCTGTTTATCTTCAGAACACAGAGAAATCCACTGGATATAGAAATGTGTGAGGAAGTGTTCCAAGAGATTGAATTACAAGTAATAACTGTCACACAACTGAGATGTGTCAAAAGGAAAAATTAATCTTTTTCATGTGACCATGTTGTGCATCTAACAAAACACAATTTAATTATGACCCAAATTCTGCTAATCTTACACACATTGAATTGTCCTTTATTTTGGAAATGATATGTCAGCTGTAACTCTTCTTTCTTATCTTATATGTACCAGGGTCCTATTCCAGAAGTAAATGGAGCTGCTGAATGGAGCATGCATTAGAGATATTATTGGTTCTGAACACATAAAATAAAGGACTTGCACTTCAACAATGAAATGTCACACTCAAGAAAAATTAATGTTTTGCAAGGGATGTCAGTGGGGTCAAAACTTTGGTCTTGTCAGTAGTTCATACAACAAAATATGCACAACAAATACAATTGCAAACTAGATTGCATTTGAATTATTGATTAAGCAGGATGTATTTTAAGACCAAGTGTCAGGTGCCTGAGAAATGTAAAGTGAAATATGGACGTATTTGCAGAGAAAATTGAAAAGACTTAGATGTTCAAGCGCTGGCAGAAACACCAGAAATTAAATTGAAGATATTAACTTACCAGCAGGAAGTTCTCATTATTTTTTTTGTTTCAGTTTGTACCTGTAGGGCTGCTTGACATTCCTCTTGTTTTCAACACAATTTCTTCATTGCTTTTCAGTGGTGAAGTTGAATTAGATAAAACTTGTTTGTTGGAGGATGTTTCCCTAATTCTTAATTTGACAAGAATAGAAGCAATGCCTTTGGCAGTCATCTTTATTTCTGTTGTTGTAGCAGACCTAATGTTCCCATAAGCTTCAGACATCTGTACTTCCCTGCTCTTTCTTTAGCATTGCCATTGGGCACAATGAAACTTTAAGTCCTTTATTGTGCTGCTCTTAGTGTTTCAGTGTCCTTTTCTCTTGCAGACAAGACTTGAATCAAGAAACCTGGCTAACAGAGGTGAAGAACTGAGGTGTTGTCTTCTCTAACTTCTCCTTTTCTTGAAAATCCAAGCTTTCTGATTGTGAATTAGCTCAAATCAATCTAACAATTTGCTTAGTTAACACTGTACTTGACCTTAAATTGTAGAGTAATTTTACAATTTAGTTCAAAATCTAGCAGTTGATAGTTAGTTAATAATCTAAGCTGAGGGACATTGTTGGCTCCTGGATTCAGCTTCCATTTCTGTCAGAACCAATTATATTTTGTGTGCTGTTTTTGCCATGCACCCTTGTTGCAGAAGGCACAGGAAACAACACTGGCATCTGTAAAACAGTTTTATCTTTCTCACTGTTTTTCTGCTGCAGGGTTTAAGATGTGTTTTTCTAGGAATCTGTGTTGAACTGGCCTGGCATGACTGCAAGCAAACTACCCTAAAGGCAGGATTTTATTTGACTACTAATACCTGTGATACTTCTGCTTGTTGGATACCCACCCACCCATGCACCTTGTTCTTTAAGGTAAAGCCTTTGCAGTGAGGGCCTGGGGCAGGGAACCAGGCTACAGTCCCTGATGCTGTGCTGGGGTTGCCAAGTTGCTTCATTCCTCCTCTCTCCCAGGAATGCAAAGTGGCAGTGGGAAACGGGGACTGAGGCTGTGTCCTGCAGAGTCACCAGCCCTGTCACTGGTCAGACACCTTTAGGGAGGAGGAGGAGGAGGAAAAAGGAAGAGAGGAGATGATGAAACTGCCAAGATCAGCAAGGGAGAGGAGAGAGGAAGGGGGATGATCAACGGCGATTTTCTTTGCTTTTTAATTATGCTCTGCTGTCTCATCAAGGTTGGAGTCACACTCCTAAACCTTGTTTTGTGCACCTTTCCCCTCCTTCAGGCATCAGTGTCCAGCTAGTGCAAAAGAAACTGTAAACACAAACAGTGGTTGCTTAAGCTCCCTGTAGCTTCCTCAGGTGATTGCCGCATCTGGTGGAGCAAAAGCCCTGAGCAGGACCGTGCTGCTTTCCTACTCGGTGAACACGAGTGCGTTACCGTCTGCAGCACATCAAGGCACAGAATCATGTGCAGGCACGCAGCTCCATAAGCCCCTAAGCAAACAGAGCAGTCCATAAGTGTCCACTATTCTCATGTGCTTCTGAACAAGGCCTTGGGAGACAGCCAGCATAGGACTGAAGAATAACACAAGCTGTAGTTGTGATGCTGGATGTCAAATTTCAGCCAGCATACTCAGGTACTCCCAGGTGGTGCCTGAGAAGAGGAGGCTTTGGGGGCTTCCACAGTTCCCTACTCTCAGTAGAGAACAAAAGTTAAGACTTATTTTTGAAATAATACATAGATACTGTATTTTATTAGGTGTAATAAGCATAATGAAAATATTTATTATAAGTTTTTTCTCCTGAATGGATAATATTACACGAAGAATTACAAGTGATTTTATACTAATTGTGTTCTCAATTGTATTTCACTTTGATTTTCTTCCAGCTAGGAAATATTTTTTAAGAGTATTTATATGTTCTTGCCTAATTATTCCTTGTTGCATATATTCTCCCATTGTTTATACTCTACCCATCTCTCAGTCTTACTGATCAAGGCTAGGAGACACTCCATAAAAGTGAATGGAGTTAACCACTTAAAAAAACCCAACCAACCAACAAAACAAACAAACAAAAAACTCCAAACAACCCAGGTGAAGCCCTGTGTCTTTATTAATTTTAGCTACCAAAAAAGTTTAACTGAAAAATTTTCCACCTCTAATTTGTTGAAACAAAGAACACTTGGCAGGGCTTTTCATAGAACACAAAATTACAAAATTGCAGATGTGTTACAAGCTAATAAACCTCAGTAGTTAAGGATCTAGATGAGACTCCTTTTCCACATAACATATAATCCTTTTTTTTCAATTAAGAGAATGAATTGAATATTATAAAGTTAGGTTTAACAAGGCAGAAACCAGCAGAGTCTTGAGTATACTTCATTCCTTGCAGTATATTGAGGCTTGAGGCACTGTGGAATATAGGATGCTGGAAAATGCTTTATGATGTGATTTTCTCTGTGAGAGCTTTGGTATGAGTTGGTAAGGGGTGTTTATGCATTTTACAGTTACATATGAAAGTATACACTTTCCATTTTTAAAATACTTAAGAACAGTACATGAACAAAAAAGGAGCCTTTTAGCAACTGTACGATACTTACACTCACACTGCTCCAGCTCAACTCCTGAGGTGCAGGGACATCATACCTGACCTTTCTACACTGGATGAAAAAGCTGGGCCAATATAGCAGAGCATTTTAAAGTCATAGGTTTTGATACAGCAGAAAAAAAAAATGTCAAGACACCCAAGAAGAAAGCCACACCAGGGGCTTTATCAAACCAGGTCTGCAGGTTGCAGGGGTGGCTTGAAATCCCTTCTGCCTCTGCCCACTCTGTACTGGCACCAGCAATGGCACACCAGGATTCTTAAGGCTTTACTGGTGTTTCTTGCTTACTCTTGCAAATATTTAGAAATAAATACATTCCACATGAATGAGCAAAAGTCAAGATGCTGGCTCTGGTAGGGAGCTTTAATCCCTTCTTTACTCTGTCCTTATCTCTGGCTTAAGTGAATGAATGAAAAATAGAAGCAAAGCTATGAAGTGCTGGCTGACTAATTTACTATTTGGCAGTCAGTGGGTAAATGTATTTGACTTTTTGAAAATTGTGCAAAGTCTTCAGGTTAAAGATGATACATACAAAATGGGATTTTTCTGAGTTTCCTTCAGGAAGATGATACATGTTGTTTTGTTTATTGCCAGTTTAATAAGTTTATCTGAATTTAATTACAATTGTGAAGGTATTTAAAATGCAATGGAATCCGCATAAATTCCACTCATGGGAATGAATGAGGAAAACCAAGGGGTTTTAACATTTGTGCTTTATCTGACCAACCCACATCAGATCTGAAGGTCCAAAATAGAGAAGATAACTTTACTGCAGATGCCAGTGCCATATTTCTACACACATTAGAAAAGTTTCCAGCCTTTTCTACTAACATCTGATGACAATATTCTGAAAAACGTAGCTAGTCTGTCAGGTATCTCTGGAATATGAACACATTTTTCCTGGTGCTTATGGGGAAGAGTAAAAATATGTGGGCTTGACATTACCCAGGATCTGATCTTCATAGTTAGGAAGGCAGCAGAAGAAGAATCCCAAGCATATTTCCATAATGGCGGTGGTCCAGCCAAAGCCATAGGCCCAGCTGAACATATTGATTCCTGTCATCTCAATTTCAGATGAGAACTTTACTGGGTAAATGACCAGGCCCATGATGGAGAACACAGCTGAGGAAACAGGAGAAAACAAAAAAATGTTTAACACCCAGCACCACTGCCATCCTCCATAACCCCTGTAGCTAAACCCATCCATGTTTTGAAGGATCTGAAAATCAATCCAGTGCCATGAGAGACTTTGATTTTTCATAGAGAGCTCAATTGCACACAGGCAGAGACTTGGGTATCTAATCTGAGTAAAATATCAGTTCTGGAATGGATATATCTGCACAAGCTAAACTTGACTCCACGTGCTGCCTTACCAGCCACGAACAGCAGGCCTCCGATCCCACGGATGAAATTGAACCGAAGTGTGTCGATGGCAAATGCTATGATGGCCAGTGCAAAACAGATGACTAGAAGTAGAAAGCCAACCAGGTATGTGGCAGCAGCAGCTCTTCCCCAGGCTGAAATCAGAAGGAAGATACATTAGAAAGGAACAAAAACAAAAACAAAGGCTTGTTTTTTTCTGGTTAGTAAGTAAGGATTAGTTTTAAAACCTGAGAAAAAAGGATCATCTCCCAAGAAAGAAAGCATGGGAGCTTTCTCTCCTCTTGTGACGTGGGCATTTCAGTTTCACAAGAAATCATGCACTAAGTGCAGAAGGCATGAAATTCCAATTGGTCTTCTCATGCAGAATGAAATGGGGGCTTGGGTGCAAGCTTACTGTTTAGTTTTAACAGTTAAGTATTAAGAGAGAAATGGCTTTAAAGGTGTAAAACTGGACACTGTCCTCAGCAGATGCCATGAAATCAGCTTCCTTTTGCACAGGCAAGGAGAATTAAACTGTCCCTGGAACTAATAAAATCTTCCTTCAAAACAAAGTGTTTATAAAAGCACAACCGATCTGGCAAACTTAAAGGTATGGAAATAGCCCATAAATGTCAAAATTCAGTGATTTCTGTCTTTCAGCCTTAGTTTAGCTCTGTGTCCTAAATGGAGCTAAGGATTTGGAATCTGTTTTGTGGGGAAATTGGATCTCTGATTTTCGTCCAAATTTAGAACTTCAATTCAAAAAGCTTATTCCAGATATTAATTCTTTCATTTTCAAATTATAAATTTTTATGTTATTACATGCTAAAGCAAAGCATATTGCATTGGCATAATACAACTGGAAAAATAATATTTATTTAATATTTCAAGACTTGAGGAGCAACTACTGCTCAAAGAGATCAAATTTTCTGGATGTAGAAAAGCCACTCTGACACATTTTAAATTATGTATTAAATTGAGTAAGCAGTTAAAGCTGCTAGGCATCTACAGATTTCATCCCCTCATCTAAGCCACTATGTCTTTGTCAAGTGTTGGCTTCTAACCAAAAATATGCAACAGCAGTGCCAAAAAATTATCACAGCCCAAACAACCCTGACAATAATTACAACTCAACTTAAATGCAGTGCATGCTGTTCAGTAAAAGTTCCCTCTGAAACTGAGTAAGTAGCCTACCAATTTGTTTGCTTTAAGCATGGAAGTAATAAAATGCAAAGTGTCTTGTCTTTCCCTTGACCAGAGTCAAGTAAGCATGAAGGCAAACGACCTGTCCTCAGTGAGTGACAGCTTGGTGTTTGATCTGTCTTTCCCCAGGGCCCACACCACCACTACTATTAGGCAAGAAAAATGGATCAGGATTTTCCAGCTATCCTTTTCTACCCCTCAGTCCATCAAAACCAATTTCCCTTTTGTTTGCTTTTCAACATTCTCCCTGCTTTATGATTCCTACTCTATTCTAGCTATCGCACTATATCTTCAGTTTTATTTCATCTCCATTCTCTTTCTTATTCCACAAAGTTTCTGTCTGCTTGTAGGGCTTTTCAACTGGGTTGTTTTTCCCAGTAAACAAGCAGCTGCTTGAGAAGATTGAAAGGAACAGCAATTGTGATCTTACATCTCATTTTCTAGCCCAGTGTTTTAGCTCAAGCTCTTCTCTCTAGGAGTTTACAGGGGGCTCAGAGGTAGAGTGTGCAGTGTGGAGGCACATGAGGGAGGACAGCACCTCAGGCAGAGTATCAAAAGAAAAAGTCAAGGAGAGGAATTTCTTATACTCCTCAATATACCCCATTGAAGGTGTTCCTATTCCTAGTCTCCCTGTTACCCCTTTAAAACAGCAAAAAAAGGGGCATCTGACCATAAGAGATGTTTCTCAGCAACGGTGACCTCATTGCTCTTGGATACAAGAGTTCTGGATACTTCTGGTAAAAAGGTGAAATTACAAGAACATCTAGAACTTCTTAGATGCACAATTGCTTGTGGTCCAGGCAAAGGAGCAGACTCAGAGCACTGCTGCCTGTCCAGCAAGTTCTGAGACACCAGGAGTCCTGGGGGTTCCATCTCCCCTGCTGCCAAAGCTCAGCCCTGCTTGCCAAGAGCAGCTGACAGTAGAGCACCAAGCCTGGGGTGGGAGCAGCACCTGGGCTGGGGGCTCAGGGAGCTGTGCCTGGTGGCTGCAGACATGTGGGGTGGCACCTTGCCCATGCCAGCAGCTCCCTCCCCCGCCAGGCTCAGCCAGGTGTTTTTCCTGAAGCAGTGTTCCAAATGCTGTGACTGTATGGAAGCAGATTGGGCGCATGCCCAGCCCACTGGGCACTGGCTATGTGGCAAGAAGAGACATGCTTGTTGCAGGATGCTTACACCATTTGGAGCATTGCTCAATCACCTGACAGCCAATTTTGTGTCTCCCAGTTCTACAAAAGAGAAAAAAAACCCTTCAACGTTGGAAGAAAAACAGCACACAGCTCCAAGACAGTAGAGTGCATGAAGAGTAAGTCTCTACAGGGTTTTTTTGAAGAAAAGTATTCTGAGTTCATCTGCCCTTTGCAAAAAGCAGCAGCTATCAGTACTCTAAGACCATAGTGTGTAAACATCTTACCTTTCTAGAGTAAAAGGTAACAAATGCTTTGTGCACCAATAATTGCAACTGTTTCTGTATTTCAGATGCTTATTTTATCTTGTGCCGGCCAGGAGTACTAGAATAGTTTAGTTCTTTTCAAATAGAACCAAGACTTAATATTTCTTAAAAATGTCAGAATTAGAAGAATTAAATTGGTCAAAATACACTGACAAGCAAGTGGCTAATTTAGTCCCAGATATTTTCCAATCTTTCAATGTTGTGGGGTTTTTTTGTCATTAATATTGAGTTAAAATAGAAATAAATTGTTCTATCTGCAAAGCTTGTTCTTAAAAATGTGAACTCTAGGCCAAGGAATCCTCACAGGTGCAACACCAATTCAGTGTATTCTTGGCTGTAAAGTGAGTTAAAACCTGAAAGAGCCCAGTCCACCTGTCACCGAATCAAAATTGAAACAGAGGGAGCAGCAGCTTACAGGATATCAAACTGAGTTTGTAAAAATATTCAGCAGTTTTTGAGATCTATTTTCTCAGCCCCAAAAATGGTAATGATCTTTTGGCTGTTTAAGAGTTAAAATGTGCTTGTGAGAAAATAAACCTGTTTATACAAAAATGTCCTTGAATACCAGCATCAACCAGCATCATCTTGTAACGCTTCGGTGCCAGTCCCGTTTTTCCCTTTTCCAGTTCCTCCAACAGCTGAAAGAACACCAGTGAACACTATGAAAGGGTTTGTGGCAGCTACACACCAGCCACTCTTCAAAACTCCTTCTAACTGGCAATTTTCTGAGCAATTTTGTCTTAAACAAGACACTGCTATCCCAAACAGGCAAGAGGAAGCCATGTCCTCACACCTGTCTCAAGCGGGCGAGGACAGTGTTTCTGATAACAGAGCTTTGTATGTCACTCAGCAGTGATTTGTGGGAGTCTGGGCTGCCCAAAGTGAATAAAGTAGTATGTGACCACTGGAAAATGGAAATAACTGCCTGACTTCTACAGCTCCCTGCTTTGTGAGAAGACCCCTGAGCTAATTTAGAGACCAGAAAGAGCCCTCCATGCCAGGACAGAGGTCATGATATCTTGCGAGCTCCATAATTAGCTGAGACAAAATTCAATAATAACAGATTTATTACTCTGCTATTAAAACTAACTCAGTTTGGAGGCAGCATGACTACCTCTTGTATTGCACCATATAAACACATTTTGATTATCCTATATCTGGCTGCAGCCATAGGGAAGCTGATGGACTTAATTAGACATCCAGGACTAAGAATATCTCCAGTCTCCTGCCTTCCTGATTTTACTCCCTCACACATTTTACAGTTTATGAAAATGTAAATACTGTCGGTGCTTCACACGAAAAGAAACAAACTTTCTTGCTCAGCAGTAAGTTGAGCCAAAACTTTGAACCACCAAACCTAGTATTTCCTTAGCCTGTCATCTTCATGCTCCAAAAGCTCCATGCTTCAAAAAAAGGGGTGTTGTGTCTTGAAAATATAAGCTTTACTTCCTCCATGACAAATATAAATGCCCAAGTTCCTGGTGTATGTGTTTCAAAACATGGGAAAACACTCACAATAACATTGGAAAATGCTCACAATAACATTCTCATGTTTTTCTTGATCTAGTACTCCTACACCACATAAACTGCTGAGTTTCTCCTTGGGTGACATTTTCTGAAAGCAACCCCAGAGAGTTCAGAAGTACCGCTCCTTGTATGATCAATAAGAACATACTTCTCCAAATTTTCCTCTTTGCTGGAAGCTAAATACACAACTAGCATTGGAAAGAAAAACAAGTATTTATTGTCAGCTCAAAGACACCAACAATTATCTAGAGGTTCTTGCTGACTGATCATTTTCACACTGCAGTGAATTGGGCAGCAATTTGAGGAAGGGTAGCTTTAATTCACAAGAACCAGGGAGGGGTGAAAGAAAATGTAACAGACATTTTGCTCTGTTATCCTTCATGCCACGGAGGGAAAGAAACATAGACCCTGCAGTTCCAGCTGCAGTCTTGCAAAGCAACTCTTAGGAGAACCAAAATCTGCTGTGGTAGCAATTCATCTCTGTGTTGTACGTAAGGAGGATATTTCTAGGCTGAGTTTGCAGAGCTCAACCTGTTTAACATCTCTCTGATTAAAGGGAAAGAGTATTATTTTGGAAACAAAGCTGAACTCACTTGAGTTTCTCAACCTGGCGTTCTTTGTCAGGGTGTGGCGAGCACTGCAGAGCACATGCTTCACTTTGGAAAGGAACCACTTTGGCCAGGTTTTACCCATTTCCCTTTGGCTGGTTCTCCTCAAGTAAGTTTCCATGTGAAAGTGCACATGTTTGCAGCAGAACTCATGTTCCCTTAGCATGACTCTTAAGGTGGTCCATCAAACCCATTAACCCACATCTCTACCAGCCAAAGCTGCTGGTGTGCATGCACACCCTTTCATCAGGACTCTCTCTGGATTTCCTGTGTTACCTGTGCAACACGACACAGTGCAAAATCCTATCTTCTGGAAATACTGACTCTGTAACACGCCAGCTGTGGGGAATTTCTGTGCTCTTTCTGG